ACCGGCCAAATCAAGTCAACTGTCAGTTAAAAAGTGGGCGGGAAACACAGCTCATTATTCGTTTCACAGAATCGCTGATTGGAGGAACAATTCGAATGAAAGTTGCTTGGAATATAAGTCCTGCTGGTCAGTCAGAAAAATAAACTGGGTTATGGAACATATCCTACAAAATGTGAGAAGGCACCAGGACGGAATGATCTGCATCAGCTCCCGTTAAAGAAGGTGGAAAACCTCCAGCCAACCACCTGATAGACATTATTGATGCTGCATAGAAGGAAGAAAAATTGCCCATAGAGTGAGGGACATCGACAATCATCCGAATTTTCAAGGCCACAGCAGATTTCCTAAACCTGCATCACCCGTGGGGCAAACGTGACATAAGCTTATCTGTCAGAGGTGGATTTTATGATGCACCAGTGCACTTCATTTTGTTATATGGCCGTTGCGAGCTGAGGATATTGGAAAGCTTTCAGTGTTTGACCATTGTTCTCCTCGGAACATCGTTCACATCTCTGCTGGAGTATATCGAATTGCTTTCATGGGAAATAACTTGTCCGAACACTCCTTCGATAGGCAGTGCACTCCGTATGCTAGTTGACCTACCTCTACGGGGAGCTCTTACCACATAACCGCTCGGAGGGTAGAAATGAGAAAGGAGAGAGCAAGCAATGACGCGACGTGAATTATGAAAGCTTTCATTAGTTGTTGTGCTGATCCTCAAGGTCTCCTTGAATGAAAACCCTGAGATGGGGCATATCAATGGTCAGTAACGTTGACAGCCATATCTCAGTAGTTCGTTCAAAGGAATGCGTGTATCCAAGCGGCCGCCCTCGAATTATAGCTTCTCCTCCCGATGACCCTATGAAAATTCTAGTGATAATCATATGTTCAAGCATCAATTATGTCGGCTAGCATCTCAATTACGTAGTTATCTCTTCTATCCCCTCATATCACCGGCAAACGAATCAGGGCAGTTTACAGCTGATGATGATGTGCTCAGGGATTTAGAGACAGAAAAACAGAAACTTCACGGGGTAAACAGGCCAAACAGACAGGAGGGACATAGTTCACTGATAAAAGTCAATCCTTTCACTGCAGTCGGTCATTGAAGGCCAGGCGTAAGTAAGAATACCTGGGGCCATTTCGAGAAGCCGATTACAAGTAGATCATCGGGTGGAATGTTCCCAGTTTCAGTTTAATCGCCGCAACAGATACCAGAAGCTGTGGAGGGAATGACTGACTTATCTCAAAAATTCCCTGATAATACAACTACCCAAAGCAGTTGGGTCTCGAAAGAGTGGAAAATCTCCTGGCAAATAGGAAATAGTTTTGAAACTCTCCAAGAATCGCAGCAGCAACCCACCTACCTGGTCATCTGAGTCCTCAACAAATATCTGGATGGGAGAATGTGCCTGTGTTCCCCGACTCAGATCATCAGTAGACTCTAGCTTCAAGGAGCAGACGGATGAAGCAACAGGGTTATAAGTCCAGTACCGATCATGTCGGATATCCCTGCAGGTATCGCCGGTGGATGTGTATTCACTCAAACTGATGCGCCGCAAAGGGCAAGCCAGTTTCCGCAGCGATTGCGATTTTGTCGATCAGAAATTCACATTCAGATAGGCAGTAAAATAACACTGGTGTTATTGATTGATGGATTCCCTCTACGGGACTGGGTTCCGACAGACAGAATACCGCACTAATTCGGTAACAACCCGAAGAAAGAACAGAGAAAGAACATCCGTTTATGTTTGGGACTATTGTCGTTTTCATCGGTCTGATCTATTCACATCACGAAAGAATGTTGACTATGGTAACCTCTGGTAGATTGGAGCCTTCCTCGGGAAACTTAACAGTTTATGTTGATGACTAAATCTGGTCATAAGATAGTCCTTAAGCAGCGCAGTCAGTTCTGAATAAGCACTCTAGGGAAGTAATTCGTTTCGGTTTCTCGTTGTCATCATCTGGGTATAATGCAATTGAACCAACCTGACTTTCAGTCATGCCATTTTGGCGCCATGCCGGAATAATAATCCTAGACTAATCTACCAAACTCTGGAATCAACTATCTTCCACAGTATATCAGAATCACAATACTAGTCCCCATCGTAAAAGCGAAAGACGCGTTGTCTAGTTTCCGCTATTTCCGATAACGACAATTTCTTCACGGTAACGTTTATGGGTCTGGAAACTGTTTGCCTCATGTGGAGTTTTGGCAACGACTGTCTTCATTGTGCCATTAGTATCTATGAAGTGCGTCAAGCTTTCAAAACAAGCACCTTACGCGCGAGTAGGACTTCGTGTCCTGTGTGGCAGCAAAGAAACAACTTCACCATTTTACTTCTCCGTCCATTAGACCGCATCGTGGGAGGGAGGCAGCAAGTTCTACCAAGGACTAGGATCGTCGTGAAGACCGACCATAAACGTGAAGGAAACACATGAAGATATCAGCTTCGCTTGAGTGACTTCGGTTTCCACAATGAACGACTGCTTATGTCCAGATATGTTGACGAGCCAAACTCAGTGGGGACTATCTAAATAAGGATGCCTACAGCGATCGACGCTGTAAAACGACTGACTAAAATGAACTTACGATTAACTCTGCGAATCTTTTTCAAAAATGATTATTCTTTTCGGAAGAAGTTTGAAAAACAATCAGGAAATTAGTTACTGAGCAATGTTTCGCTTTCGATACGAAAGGTTCTTCAGGCAAAGTGGCTAGATAATATTTTGGTCAAGATTTAAAGCGGAAGTATAACCAATCGGCTAACTCTTGCTAAATTGGCGTTAAGCTTAAACTAGTGGATTTTGTTTGTTATGGTGTCAGCAAGTGAATTAGTGCCGACCTAAGGATCCAGATCTCCTGGTTCGTTTCCCGTGAAGATCCCTCTTGGATATCTTTTACAGTTTTTGTATCTCTGTGTTAGTGAACTGGGTGCTATGATCGTTGTGTAACCGCAAGGGATTCCTTCGCGGTTCCAAACCCTCTCTGCAAATGATTCCGTGTGTACTGCTAGCACACCATACGCTCACGAGCTCTACGCCCTCGATTATATTCACATAATGATGATTCCCGCCGCCTCGACCTCAGCCACATAGGTGTGAATCGAAGTCGTCACAGTCTTCAGGTTTCACTATTTTCTAGACCTACTCTACTCTATGTCCTGTGTCTGACGCACAACCCGGTATCCGTGAGTCTTTAACCATCGACTGGCATTCGTTTGCACACATCCTGACTGTATTCTTATTACGTCTGTGTGTTAATCTCGATCACCAATGTGTGTGAATACAAACTGTACACAGAGGTCGCCAGACCTTGGGCCACCCTGTACAACCAATTGTGTTTGTTTATCAAATTCTCATTATCAGCACATGATGAACGTATTTGCAACCTCATGACCGCTATACAAAAGAAAACCCAAAAAGTTTCCCAGGTAAAACCAGAAAACCTGATCACATGTGGGCAATAAATACACCTATCAAGTGACTGGAAAACTGTGTGAGTTTCCATCGATTTTCGGTGAGCAAGCAGAATGATTTACAGAGAACGGATGTGCACTGCACAAAGACAGCGATCGGCAAAATTGGATGCGAAATTTTTAATTGTAGCGGCGCCTGGTCTCACAAGCCTCCACCAAGGAGAAACCAGTGTTCCGGGATTCGCCAAGGGAAGCATATAGACTGAGTTAAATAGAACACAAGATTCACGGGATCCAAACGTTGTATTTGCTTTCGTCGGCCGAAAGAATTCACTTGCTACACAAAAAGGTGGATGATTGTTTTACGTCTGCGGTTAGCAACATCACACAAATCACAACCGATAGATTCAGCTGGGTTCCAGGTGAGTCTCTCGCAAAACCGAATTTGTTTGCAAATGAGTGTATTTCGCTACAATTCACTTAGTTTGTTTCTTGCTGTTCTATTCATAATGATCAAAGGGTCGAAATGGTTTCAATTTTTTAAAGCGGATGTTCTTTTTTCCATTTCACAAGCATTCATAATGGTCGAACGTGCCATTCGAATGAAGGTTGTGCAGTCAGGAAACGAGTCATGGAACAAAAGATTTCTACTTGTGAATCCTTCCAACTCATTTCGTGTGGGCGCCCCTAAGATTTGTCAAGAAAATATCGGCAATCAACTTGTGGGCAACTCAATTTGAGGATCTATAAAGTAGACCTTATTTATTATGCGGCTGTCAGGTCCTAGGATAAAACTAGCTGCAGTAAAGTATGCTGTGGATTTCATTACTTGGCGCGCTAGGATCAAGAACATTGTGGTGGGCTCGAAACTCCCTGGAAATTCGCGATTACGATCCTCAAACGTACACTACTTCTCGATACATCGGCATAGACTTGCTTCACTTACAGGAGAAAATCTCAATTGAAAATTACCGAATCTCTTACACCAGCACGAGCAGACATGTGCGTTATCCTGTTTGTAACAAGGACTACTTTAGGCTGCTTGAAAGCTCTACTGACTGATATTGGATCTGACTGTGATGAACTGTTAATTTGGCTGGTTCTTCGACGGTAGCGTTAACTCGTGGTCGTTTATCGAAGGATTTATGCCCACTCAATCAACTATCAATCTAAACTCAGTGCTTCTTCTCAAGAGTTATCCATTTCACCAAGTTGGAAACCACTTTTCAAGTTCTCATTTGGCGTTGTCCAAGACAACGGTACCCCAGCCTCCATATATCCTGCTTGGGTCGCACAGAAACTAAGCAACTAGAGATCACTTGTCTTATATGGTATGAATGGTTCTGCTCATCAACATCGTCGTAACAACTGTGAAAAACGGACTTGAAAGCACCCTGAAATTAAGGACGAGTAACCTGGACTAACCAATACTACTCTCACTCCACTAAAACTAACGTCTCTTCATTAGTTATTACCATAATTTGGCTCGAACCGTGACGACCTGTTCTAACAGAATAAAGCAATTTTCAAAAATTCACCCACCATCCACATTACCCACAAAAAACGTGCACCTTCACTTACCCAGCCCATAGGCGACAAGATCGGTCGCTTTGAGACATCGTCGTAAGCTGGTTTTGAGCAAACCCTCAACATCCGCACTCAGTGCTTTTTTCCGAACCACCCCAACACGGACAGTATCCAAGTAGTTCTCACAACACGCCAAACATGACTGTTTTGACCTTCCCGATGATTCTGACATTATTCCACGACGCGGGTGTTGCGATTAGCGCAGTGCGCTCACTGCGCCCGAAAGATGAGTCCAACGTACCCCTTGTCGTGTGATCAGATCAACAGCTGTCACGACAGCGCTCTATGCCATTTATGTTATCGCTGGTATTGACTTCCCGTGCATATCGTCTTGTAGCCTTAGCCGGACACGACCCAATCACGGAGTTGGTGCATCATCCTTTCGTGATTGGACCATGAACGTCGCAAAAGCTATTGGTTGATTGGAGAACGAGGTAATCATGTCGAGAACAGGGCAGCGCTGCAGAAGAAATCAGGGTGTGTTCATTGATTAAGAGTATGCAGGTGGTCTCATACTGTTGAAAAATCAATGGCCCACTGGTTTAGCAGAAGTCGATGAAACAATCATGCTCTAGCTTGCGGATTTGAAGCCCTATACGCGACAGTTAGGTCATATCAGCCGTGCTTCTTGATTCTATTGCCTCATTGAGATAAAATCAAATATCTTTCGAAACTACATAAACTAAACAATGCTAAAGTTGCTGAAGAATATTCAAACGTTTGAATATAACGCGAACCACAAAGAAACCAACAGCGTGTACCAGAATGCATGGAATTCACGGTAAGACTGCAGTACGTCTCAAATGACAAACATCTTGAAGCCGGAATCATGCGTTCTTGACACAGACGCTTGTTGCAGACGCTCACACACAAAACGATGGTCTGAGGAAAAGTAACTTCGACGCTACAGGCTGTGTTTTTCAATTTGCTACCACACTAATTCCGAGGCATTCCTCAACCAATTGTGCCCACACACCCTCAAATTCTCATGCACGGCACAACGCTGTCGATTCCAGTTGACCCATGACCGATGTTAAGTCTAGGCTTTTTCAGTGCCGCAGTTTACGATATTATTCGAATCAATCGAGTGTCTCACATCTGTGAGCTAAACCAATCGGGACGTTTGCTAACAGAATAGGAACAGCAGTCTACAAGACAGCCCGCTAGATGACGCTTCCAGCATACCACAAGCCCCTGCACCAGATTAGCAGTATGCCTATGCCGACTTTGATTAAATCAGTTACCCATAGAAGCACAGCCTGTACCAATTCAATATGAAACACTTGACGATTGACGTCAGGCAGCTAAGCAAGTATGCAAGTGACAAATTGAATAATTAATCAATTGATTAATAAATTAAGTGATTAAGTAAGCAAACAAACAACTAAATAAGTCGATGTGCTGAAACACCTCCTCGTGGTGCCGACTGGGCGAGCAAAGAGTTCAGCAACTCCGAACAGGGTGAACCAACCTATTTGATTTCAACGTCCTGGTTACTTTCGACAATGTGCAACCAGTACACAGGAGATGCTCATGGGTCTCACCTGTGAAGACTGTGGTAATTGCTGCAAACCGAAAGCTGGCTTGGTATCCCATTTTTGAGTTCACTTCCATGAAAGTGCTGGCACAAGCGTTGTCACCTTATTGACCTGCACTGATTGTTCCTGCCTTTTTCCGACGAAGATTGGCCTGAGTTCATACTGCTTGCACGTACACCCTACCCAGCATAATTCACATGAGTTTGATTGAGTGGGGAATTCCGGTGTCCGCTGGTCCCAACAAGGGTCACAATCAGCCTTGCGCCCAACTAACAATCTGTATCCGTCTTTTGACACACAAACCGCAGTTCGTAAGATTGGAGCAATATTTTCCCGGTCAATTGGCTATCAGCATCAAAACCAGGTTAAGTCTGCTTAACTGACAAGCTCACCTGGACGAGTCGTCTTCTAATGGCTCTGACCAAACCGTCTGTCAAACAGTTGCCGATTCGTCAGAACCCTAAGACAATATAGCGTCTGGTTCAAATCTAACCGTGGAATCCCCTTCTGACAGTTCTCTCGCCACAGTTGACCTTCTGGCTTTTGCTAGAGGGTTGCAGTCTGGCATCACAATACTGGACCAGGTCCACTTCTACGCCTTCAAGACATAGTCAGCTAGCCCATCTTGTGCCCGCCAGCCAAAAGCGGACCTTGTGGTATCTCACCATCCAGAGCCTATATCGTCAGGGACGGAAAGACGCAGTGTGTGCTTTGCTCGATGGGTTGTAAAAGGATCTTTAAAAGTGTAACAGTGGTCTGCCTTTGGACTCTGAGCACTATTGGAAACAGGTGCTTCCTGCTCCAAAACACGTGGATAGCTGACCAAGTCGCCCAGTGCTACCATCCGTTTGGGGTTCGACCACGTGAGAAAGTCGATCGTACGGTCCATTTGATGGGCAGTTTATCCGCAGGACTGGAGGACCTCACGCCCAGGATTTTTTGCCGGTTCAATGCTAACGCCCTCACTGGGTATTTCAAGTTTGTGTCGTGCCCGTATTACTCTTATTCCAAAGGTCCCGAATTTGACTTAACTGTACAAACTGACACCGATCGTCATGTCATCTACCTTTGCTCAATGCATTCATAATGGGCTTGTTGATCTATGAAGCCTCAGAGTGTAACTGCCTTTAATCCGGTTTGCACTTCTAAACCGAAACAGTTGTTGTGAAGTTTTATCTCCGTTACACGTTCTGCTCCGTCACTCTTCAGTGACTGCTCCCAACCTCAGCTTGGCGTTTGTTTATATCTCGTAAGTGTTAGTCTCATTTTTATGGCACATGTATCACATATCTGTCAAGGCGTTTGGAGCACCACCACAACTAATTCGATAAATCGCACTGTCCTATTAGAAGACTGTAGCAGTGTTGCCCATTCACGAGGTTGACTGCCACAGAGGTGAGAGGCAGGGAGATCCCCCGCTATTGTTCATCGTGGCAATGAACGAGGTTCTTGGATAGTCATTGACAAAACTAGGATACCATTCCCATGACACCTTGATGAATGGCTTCGCCTTCACTGACAACTGGGCCCTGTGTGCAGAATGTCACACTCACCCTAACAAGAAGCTAGAAGCTGCTGTGGTCGAGTTGGAATGAGCTGGTAGACGGTCAACGCCCGAAAGACGAAAGCAATGGTGATTTGTGGGCACAGGGTCTCTGTCAAATTTTTCGCTTCGCTGAGGAACTCATCGGTCCTCCTTGTCCCCTTTACTTTCATGGAACATGGAGTTTGCAACCACTGACAGCAGTTGCTGAAACTGCTTGATCATTAGACTCGTGCCCCGCTCAAGCCGCAATAAAGAATGGAGATCACAAGGAATTACCTGACACCCAAGCTGACTTATTCGATTGTGCTGAACAAAATCCACCGAAACAAGCCTAAAAGACTGAACACTTACATCAGACAATTTATTCATGACTAGCTACGTCTACCGAAGGACACCCCAATCAACTAGAATCACGCCAGTAGACAACATGATGGACTTAGTATCCCAAGCCTGAACTCAACCATCCCGATGCAACGGAAATCGCACTTGAAAAAGTTTCTGTTTACTCAGTGCTGGGTACTACGTAATACGGTCAATGATTCCGCATTCGGCAAGGTTGTTCGGGACCTCAGCCTTCTAACCTGAGTCCAAGGTACATGAGTAAACACCCAGGAATAGCTGGTGGCTGGCGATATTCTGCACATCAGTGTTGACAATCGTGGTCAACGGGAGTTGGTCGCTTCGCCCCTGTCGAATGGATTGGTTGTGTTTCCAGGACAAGTTTTTTTTCAGATATTTATCTGCGGTATGCAGCTCCAGTGCGATCTGCTTAAGACGAGACTTAAAGGCTCCCGGCCTGATCAGTGACCAGACGATCTTGTGTCGTGGAAACTGTGGCCAGCCAGAGTGTTCGGCGCATATGCTGCAGTCCCGCGGGAGCACTCAATATTCTGGATGTGCTCGTCATAGTCGAGTTGCAACGGGACTCGCGAAACTTCGTCGCCTGGGATGCACCATCATCAAGGAGTTGAAAGAACCTATTTCGACTTCTTTCATCAAGCCTGACCTGTAATTCTACCGGAGATTGGAGGACCGATATCATGAGCTGCACTCGCCTTTCATGCATGTACAAACCTAAGGCGAGTGATGTCTGCTTTTTTGATGCTACGGTGCCTGTGCGTACGTGCATATTGGTTCGAAAATGTGGTGTACGGGTTTTTTGAGTGGATAGGTGAACAGACTACTCGAGTTTTAGAAAACAGCGGAGTCATAGTGAGCTAAACCGTCCATAGTCAACAGGATAGTAGTGTCAATGAGGCCTGCCAGGACTAAGTGGACATATCGACAAGTGTGAGAGCATGTAATGTTCAAAAATTGCTTTTCGGTATACCTCGTAATTGGCTGTGCAGAGCTTACTGGCTATCAGATCTAACCGTAAACTCACGACGCCTGTTCCCAGTCTGTGATGAAAACGAACCTCTTTCATCGGCAAGCAAGCATTTGTATGCTTCCGTAAGTTTCCTCAAAGCCGAGTGTCTGGCGAGAAGAATCATATAATTTCCCAGATGTTAGTCTATTTATAAGGTCAATGAAACTCCTTCAACATTTCTTCACCGGTTTAACCAGTTTTATGGTTCATCGGGTTCCCGAATTCCCATCTGTCCTAATTTATACCTAGCCATTAAATTGAACACATGTGAGGAGAGACGCTTACTTGCGAATCACAACGGTATTGACGGAATACTCAACTATAAGTCTCGTCAAAGATCGCCTCATGCTTCATTTGGAATAATGCTCCAGATATAAAAGCATTTTGCTGCATAAGACATTCAACTGAAGGAAATTCTAGATAAGAAATTCAATGTTGGTAGAGTGAGGCGATGGAGCCGCTGGTGACCGAAAGTCAAAGGGCCAAACTACTCATCGGTAGCTCGCGAGTTCGAAGTTCTTTGAGCTTCTTATGATGTTTACGGTTGATGGTTCTCAATATTAATAAGACAGTCTTATAGTTGTTCTCGGTTTTTCAACATAAGTTGGCTTCACCTTCGGAGGGATTTTTATTAAGCTATTCATGTTACTCTCTTGTCAACCCTATCCTTAGTCACAAAAGAGCACTTGACCCTAATTAATTCTTTGAGGTAAGTTGTGTCACTCAACATTAAGTTGTTTTCCACATTTACTCTCAAAAACAATGGAAAGAGCTTACCATTACGTGTCCTCAAACCGTTCAACAGTTCACTACCGGTTTCGCACTTCTTCCTTCATCAGCCATGGCCCGAGTTTTCGAAAGATTCGTTTACGGCTTAAACAAGATTTCTACGTAGGTTGACGAAGATGCTATTGGGAGGCTCCGCTAAGATTCTTCTGAACCTCTCGGTAAGGTTTTATCAACTTTGTGAGTGGTATTGACGTCTTGAATATTATTCCAAAGGAAATCTGGGGCAGTTTTTTCGCAGCTGAAGAACATTTCAATCGAGGGAGATCCCTGTCACTCCCAGCTTTGTATGCAAGCGAATATTTATAGCAAAACACGTATAATTTGATGTTCACGTACGCAGCGGGATAGGCAGAGATTCGGTAACCAGACCTAGTTGATGATTGAGATCGGTACTGGGCTGTCAATGGTGGTGCCGACCATTTATCCCTCTGTGCGATGCGACTGAAAACCTTACGTGGCCGTACGCTCCATTCAGAAAGAAGTTTGTCTGTTGTTGGTTTTATTCAAACGAGCAGGACCTTGGAACATTCACTGGATACTTGAAACCCTCAAACTGAGTCTGAGGAATTCGTTTTAAGGTAGTTATCAACAGCCCCCAGCGTTCTTTACTTCACCCCATCTCGTCAGCCTTGTGACACACTTTCTCTCCAAAAGATTGGCCATGGAATTTTTCCCACTCACTATTGCATGTCCGTGCACAAAATATATTTCTTTGCCTGACAATCTTTACTAGAATGCACGTGGTGTTGTCCGAATAACTGTCCATTTACTGAACTTGAGATCTTTGGTTGAATCGGAAAGTGTTGCGTATGCTGAGTACAGCTCAGGGACTCTCATTCACAAGACTATTGAAGAGATTACAATGGCCTTTCTTAACCTCTCATTGCGCAGCGTTCGTTTTGGGAGTTCTATGCAAAATCAATCACAGTATCAACGAAAAATTATCGCTAGTGGTGCGTGCCACAGATGGGAGCATTCTGAAGAACATAAAAACCTAGTGAACATAACATAGAGAGGACAGTTCGGTCATTCCTTCAAACCATCCAGCAGGAGACGAAAATACCCCACGAACTAGTTTCAAATAAATGTTTTTCAAATATGTAACAATTTCATATCTTTACACTGCTTCCTGCATGTGCAAGAGTGCGTCGAGGCAAGGTAGTCATAATGAGACCGTCTGCGATTATTTCTGTCCACAAACAAAGCAGCACGTAAGTTGTAAGCATCTTGCTAAATACACCAGTTTCTGCATGGATGAACTTGAAACTTTAACTGATTTCAAACTAGTACAACAACACGTTGTCTAGACACTACTACGAAGGTTGCTAAAAACTTCGACAACAGCAGTTCTCACGCTGTGAGGTCGAAATAGCCAGACTGGTGAAGACAGCCAAAATTCTCTGTTATTGTTTCCTTTTAACTGGGTTATAAAAACACCTTTGTAGTGAAAAATATTCAGGCAATTCAGTGACGCCAGGACACTGAACGAAACCGTTGGCACGAAATGCGGAAGGTGAAGAGGCGACTGATCAGCTGTCGTTCGAGAGCTGATGGTGGTGGAAGCCTGCACATTTGAAGCGTCAGTCCTTTTATTGTTGCTCAAGCACAAACGGTCCTCAGTGGTTGTGTGTTACTATTGCATTTTGTAAAAACACACATGGCAAAAGTAGGCCGTGATGGTGTATGTAACTGCCATCCCCGCTCCAGTACTCGATTGTCGGAAAAATTCGCCAACAAGGTACACAGTAGTTTTATTGCAATCTGATGCAAAAGTTACAAGGGGCCTCGTGGTATTTAAGCGCAATTTCGACCCTGGTCAGGGCTCTCTGATTGGCTCTGGGTGAGCACCCATCATCATTGACCATGCTTCTGTCAAGTGCCTGAGAAAACATGAGTCACTCAGTAGATTCTCCTCATCATCAGCATCAACAACATAGCAGTAGTAGCAAAAATGTTTCGCTGCCATACGATCGTGATTTATTTGAAAGTCTTATTGTGGAAAAAGACAAAATGGACTGAGATTAGACTTTGTGCTAGTTTACCACAATGATTCCGGAGTGTCCCGTCACCCAACATTCATTTGGGCTGTCTGGATAGAAACTGACAACAAGAACGCCACTGACATCGTTTAGCAGCCACATATTGCAGCGTCTCCAACTATTTACAGAGGGGTCATGCGGATCCGTTCCTAGAGGGCGAGTCCCACTGACAGCACTCAGAATTTTCGAAACTCCCATACACCCCTCTACCTGGTCAAAATTGGCTACCACTCAGCTTCTGTCACTCCTGATTGGCCATGGAATACAATACCCTCTTCGGCAAACGACGATTCGGCGTGTGCTTTACATAGCCTAACCAACTCAGATTCTGGTGCTGGACACATTATTCGATGGAAACCTCCGTTTTTATCCTAGCACAGCAACAGTTCATACTCCTGATCCTGATGGGATACGAACCCTGGACATTTGACACACGAGGCCACCACCTTTCGACAAGAGATGCTGTACCCACCTGAGCTCCCATACATAAACAGGCAAACGTTTTTACGCTCAGTTGACCAGTAAAAGCAATCCCGTTCGTTTGAAAGTTCGTAGCAAACTGGTTTGAACATCTTCGGATTCTCAACGACCGTATAAAATTCAGTTCTCGTACAGCATGTTTCCCACCCTAGGCGGAAAACTGGGTATTCCTTCTTTGCGTCTGTGTATAAATGTGGGCGACAACAATCCACATTCTTTCTGTCAATAGATAGTGCCACCGTTCACTGAGTTCTTCAGGCCTACGGATATCATAGCACCATAGTGGCACCAGATATTTTGGGCCAATACATGGTCTGATAATACGGTTCGCTCGGGTGGATCTTTCGCCTTCTCCATATCCGAGGGCACTCGATCGGGTCTGAGTGATCGGAGGCACGCCCAAACACAAGTTGTTCGGCCCTCCTGATGCGTGTGTGAACAGGGAAATCACAAGGTGGTAATAACAAACATCCGTCATGCTTCAACTGGGATATACTGCAGAAGCGGCATGCGGCTTAATCGATAAACTGAACGTGCCAAATTTTGGTTTCAACTTAACCGTGATAAATGTTAACTTATTCACAAGGTCTTTGTGTTTTGCGTTTCTTCAGTAGTTCCCAAAGATCATAAGCCGTTGGAAGAAAAAATAGCCTTTGCATCCAAAGCAGGGAGTGTTTTCCACTCGCCTCTCAATACAGAAACTTGAGGGTCCAAAAGGACACTTTCAATACCGAAGCCTGTCACTTCTGAAACTTTTCAGGGTAGTTTGAGGTGATTTGGCAATTTCCAATTGGGATTTCATCTTATCAGTGAGGCCAGCCAATGCTGAAAAGCCGAGAAGCTGTTTCATTCTTGTTGGGAATCATCAACAGTAAGCATCTGACGGAACACCGAGGAGTTTTGAACCCTCAACCTTCCAACCAGCTGCTGAACCAGTTGACTACGAGNTCTCTCAATTGACAGCGCACATATTAACCGGTTCCTCAAGTGCTAATTCAGCTTTTGAGCAACTTTTCACTGACAGGAAAAAATATCTAGTGAAAACTTAAATCTCACAAAACCATTAATCCATAAGTTTTCAGTCGGTTTCAAGTGTCCGTGGCACTACCTGAGTGGTAAGTCTTGAGATACAGGTTGATCGATTGATACGACCAAGACCAAGTGGTCCTTCGGGACATCGAGCAGACCAATCACCGCCTTTGGTGAACACCTTAGCCTGTTCAGGTGTAGTAATTAAGGTGCGTCCAGGGTGTAGTGGTGGAGCAGTGATTATACGCTGGCCTCGTATGTCACATATCCGGAGTTCAGACTCCGATACCACCAAAGATA